CAGGTGCATGTGCGTGCGTGCCCAAGATCCCAAGAGGAGAATGGAGAAGGGATTGTGGCCTGGCCATCCCCCCGGGATTTCTTGCTTTGTGTCTCTCTGTCTCTGACTTTCTGGTGAGCGCACACGCCCTATAGCAAAAACCTCTAAAAACAAATAAACAAACAAACAAAAAAAAACAGTGCCCAGTTTTCAGATACTCAGTGTTTTCAGATGAATGAGTGAATAAGTGACTGAAAAATAGTAATGATAAATCTTATTTAATTATTTTTAATCGCCAGAGATTATGTGCACTTGCCAGAGGGGACACACACACACACACACACACACGTGAAGACAGAGAAAGAAAGAGATAGAGGAAGAAGCATTCCCCAGTGGGGCATGACCATGCTGTAATCCCTTCTGTCTTTTTTATTTATTTTTAAAATTTTTTAATCATGTTGGGATTATGGGCACGCACACACGCACGCAAACACACACACATGCCTGACATATTTTTCAAGCTTCTTGGTTGAGATTTGAATTGTGATTGGTCATGTGTGATCTGTCTTTCTTAAAAACTAGGTTGTATGGCTAGCCTAGTGATAGTAAATTTTAGAACAACTAGAATACCTTTCTTTGATTGGGTCTTGGTATTATCAACATTTAAAGTAGAATATTTATTCTAATGAAATTCAAAATTTTGCTGAGTTTCTTTTTGAAAGTTTTTTTAGAGCCAGTTACAAGAGACAGGAAAACTGAACTCATTAGTTAATATTCACATATCATAACTGTGCATTCATTTATGAATTATTGTTTATATTATTTTATGAATATTGTTATGTATTTTGACATATTTTGCATCAGTATTGCACTTGATGTCTGTCTTACAAAGGGCGAGATATTAATTCCTATTAATTCCTCCCTGATGTGGCGGGAGATATACCAATTGAATTAATAGAACAGAATACTTACAAAGGCTATGAGGGAACAAGTAGATTACTCTACAGAAACTTGACAACAGACTTGAATTGCATCTAGAAGTAAATAATATCTAAACACTCAACAAATAATCTAACAGCTTTAATCTGTAATAAATGATCTAACCATTACGGCAGATGGTGTAATGGTTATGTCGCTGCACTCCCATATAGCTGACTGCAGTACGAGTCCTGGACCCAGCAGCTTGAAACTCATACTGGCTATGTGTGCATGCATGCCTAAAAATCTTATGAGGAGAATGAAGGAGCAAAGATTGCATCGTGGCCAACCCCCTAAGGGGTGACTTCTCACTTTCTGTTTTTCTGGTGAGTGCACATCTGTAGCAAAATTCTCTCTTAAGAAAAAAAAAAGGGCACCATTTAGGATACCTTGTTTGACTCCATAAAGAAAGTTGATTCTTCCCAGAAATTTCCTAGCATTTTCTATTACTTCTTTTCCCATCTCTGTCTCTTCCCACAGTGCATTATAGTCACTAACATAAGCCTTAAGTTCCCTTCCAGGTGACAAGTTCTCCAGTTTAAGTCCTGTCGCACAAACACCTCAAATGGGAGCTTTCATATCAACATTCCTCTCTCAATAACTATTAAAGGGATAATCCAGAAAGTCTCACCTACTTAAGTCTTAAGATTTCGTTCCAACTGCAAATGGATCAGTATCTCTAAGATCATGCTGACTCCACTCTAGAACTTACTCTTCAATGGGAAGGAAGACCTTGCTGTTGCTGCTTATCATTCTGCCACTTGGTTCCTTAAATACATCCGAAGTCTTTGGAATTAATTTCTCCCATCATCATCTCCTTACTGTGAATATGTAAGAGAATATGGCTTCTGTTTTCAAAGTAGTCACATTGAAATGAATCTTTATTTCTTTATGTATGTTCCATGACTTGACTCTTAGTACCTATAAAATGTTCTATGCATATTCTAAGTGGTGACAACAGATCGCAGCAAATCTGTTACAGAGCCTCCCTTCACTATCTTGAGTACAGTATTTTTTTCTTCCTGGAATATCCACCTCCATCCCAAAGCTTCAACGTATACCCTATTTGTGTTCAGAGATCATGCTATTAATTTGCAAACCTCTTGTTTAGTTTTTACAACTTCTACTCTTGGTTCTTATTTACTGAATGTATTCTGAAAAAGGCCCTTGTAAATAATGTGTTATAATTTATTTTAATTAGAACCTCTACTTACGGCTAGCCATGTGTGAGAAAACACTAATACCATCTGTGCCAGTTTTGATGACTTCCGGAAGAACAGCTGGGCTGTGAGAGCTTGAATTCAGCTAGACACTGCCTGGGTCTGATTTTATCGAGCTGGTGCTCGGTGGACACTCACTCCGTCAAACCTCGTGCCTCTCTGCCTGCAAGGCAGAATCAAAAGGGTCTCCAGTTCCTTGAAACCGACCGAAAGAGCTCAAATACCGATTTCAAAGTGATAGAAATGTTTTAGAGATTATCCTAGAATACTTGCAAATATGTCGTTTTGTTTTGTGTCTTTGAGTTCTAAAAAACATGTGTTCTCTTATGTCCCATTGCATGTAGAACAAGAATAATTGTTCATTTTTTGTAATGTGTCGTTGGAAAAGTCGTGATGCATTTTTGCATAAAAAAAGAAATATGTCATGATTTCTGACAACCCAATAGATGTAAAATATCATAGGCAAATGAAGCACTTGGTTATTACAAATCTCAGGAGAACAAAACTCCTTAATGGTCTATGTTTTTCACTGGCACGATCCCAAGTACATGCTTCTCCCATAGCTCAGGTCTTATTATCCGCCCCGTTCTAATGCATAGTGTTCGGAGATTGTGATGACTTTCAAAATCATTATAAAACATAAAAAATCAAGAAAGTGCATGTAAAATAAGTCATCTAGTTGGTATTTGACAAATACAAAATGAAATAAAAGCTGCCTTTTTAAAACATGATTACATAGAACTTCAAGAATGGAAGGTAAGCATAAATGATTGCAAACTCATATATATTCAACTAAGATGGATTTTTGAGAATTACAGCATTTCTCCCTCCTACTAGACAATATTAGTAATAATGAATGTGACTTTACCAAAAAAAAAAAAAAGCAACCCAAAACAAAAATACATTTGTAACCTCAGATTTATTCATTTACATTTGCCGAGTACTTAGAAAAATGTGAGGTCTTTTTATATGTTCGCCTTAATTTTATCTTGATGATATACTAAAGTGAATCTAAAGTTTATAGAGGCTTTTAAAATTATTCAAATCTGAATGATAATTGAGCTTATTTTATGCTTAAAAGCATCTTGCAGTCCAACTAGGTGGCATGGTGGTTAAAGCACTAGATCCTGATTCTGTGGCTTGAGGCTTGGACCCAGTGGCTTGAAAAATATGCTGGGCATGTGTACATGCATGTCCAAAGCCCTGAGAGGAGGAGGGTGGAGGAGAGGGGACTGTGGTGTGGCCATCTTCCCTGGGGTTGCTGTCTCACTTTCTCTCTCTCTCTGGCAAGCACACATGCCCTATAACAAAAACTAAACAAAACAAAGGAAGCATCTTCCTTCAGTTTCTGTGTTTTACGGTATGAACATGCCTTTCTTATCACTCTGTGAGGTGGGCTTTGAGTGAGGAAGGTGAAAGTTGGCAATATTAAATGACTTGCTGCTGGAACGACAGGTGGCATGGTGGTTGGGGTGCTGGACTCCCACATTGCTGACCACAATTCAAGTCCTGGACTTAGTGGCTTGCTTTCTTGCTTTCCCTTTCTCTCTCTCTGTCTGTCTCTGGTCAGATTGAATAATAATGATAATAATAAGTAAAGTTGAGTAAATAATTTACAAAATGACTTGCTGCTTACGATCACACAACTAATTTGTGACTCTGGTGTAATTACCAAAACCCTTTCCCTGCTGCAAGCGAACTTGACCCTTAATTCCTGGCTTTACGAGTCTGGAAACCAACTTTAAATGGCTCTTACTTAATTGGATTGCATAGGCACTCTGCTTGTGTAAAACCAAATGAACTAGAAATACCCAATGGGGCTTTATGCTTGAAACTTTCATGCATATGGTAGCTGGCATGTCTTGAGGAGACCTTGAAAATTGTGCCCGTTGAAAATCGTCACAAAAGTTAGTGGCTCTTTTAGGAAAGACAGCATCTTCCTGAGTGAGATGGGAGGCTTGTAAGTGAGGCCCTATGTCCTTCCTCTTGGGCTATCACCCACGAAACTTCAGGAGTGCTCTGAGAGTTGCTGTGGCCTATTACCTGTTCTCCCAGTGAATGGAGCATGGAGGTCCCCAGCGATGAGCTGTGGTTCCTGTATGCCTGAGGATGCCAAGTGGCCCATGGTGGCTGTCAGTCTGAATGTTTAGGCAGAAGCAAGAAGACCCCTGCTGGGGACTGCACAGTGAAGATGATGGACTCCACCTGCTTTTTCTGCAGTGTCCACATTATGGGGCTTTTACTCCTTAGAAACTTGGAACGGTCAGTTGGCGTAATGGCTATGTCACCGGACTCCCATGTAGTCGACCGCGGTTTCAGTTCCAGATCCAGTGGCTTAAACTCAAACCGGGCATGTGTGCATGTGTGTCCAAGATCCCAAGAGGAGAATGGAGAAGGGATTGTGGCGTGGCCATCTCCCCTGTGGGGTGATTTCTCGTTCCCTGTCTCTCTGTCTCTCTCTGTATTTTTGGCAAGCGCATGTGCCCTATAGCAAAAAAAAATACTCTCCAAAAAAAAAAAAAAAAGAAAGAAACTCACGGCCCGTTTACCTTCTCATTACATTTACTGCTGCTCCAGCTTTGTGCCTGGGCGGCCCACGACGGGGCTGCTCTGCCAGCATCTCTAGCACAGATGGCCAGCTGCCCAGTTTCCCCTCCCCTTTTATTCCAAGTCTTCTCTCAGTAATTCAGATGAGATACATTCCTGTGGACCATTTGGGAGCTGATGTGGTATGTGGGATGGTGGTACCAGTTGTTTTCCCTTTGGCCAACTGGAGAAAGATTTCACAATTTTTTTTTTTCTCTCATTTTTCCCCCCTTTCAGGCAGCCTCCTGTCAGCGAGTCTCATTGGAGATCATTGCTGCAAGACATGCTAACCATGCAGCAGAATGTGTACACCTGCCTGGATTCTGATGCTTGCTACGAGGTAACTACACACATAAACAGTTTCCTCCTAGCTCGGACAGTGTAGTTGTTACAGATTGGCGTACACAAGGACGGCCACGGAAGCGCCACTGTAAATACTCCTGTTGGATCCTAGCTAGTCATTGACAAGTGCTCTCCTCCTGTCCAGTCATGATCTCACGTGTGCTTGTGAGAGGGGGAGAAAGGAGCATCCTCTACGGGCCTGTGTGACCTTGGGCACTGGTGCACGTGCCAGGATGCTTCTGCCCACCACCCCAGGGATGAGAACCAGTGTCAGCATGTGGGGCCCAGCTTCTCCTGAGCAGCACTTCTCCGCTGTGCACAGGAGCCGGCCTCTTGAACGCCTTCCCACCGACGCACCTCTCTTCCCCGTCTCCATTCATTGCAAGCCCGACTGTTCAGGTGGTTGACCGTCAACTAGAACCTCGGAATTTTAATTGACTTCTCTTACTTCCAGGGTTTCGAGGATCACTAAACCTTGCATAATGTACCTCGGAACAGTCTTTCCCATCTGCCATTTCTTCTTTACTGCTGCACTGCAGCCGTCCTCTTTGCTTCCCTACTTCCATGTTTGTTTGTTTGTTTGTTTTTTCTGGTTTACACTGGTTCAGAGAATATCAGGCAGATCCCCCTTGGCACCTTCCACCATGCACCCTCTCTCCAGGAGCTCCATCAGTCCTGGTGTGAACCCCTCCCCACCTGGCTGCTCCACTGTCCTTTGACTTCACATACACTGTCCCCTTGCATAGAATCTCATTCTTCCTTCCTTTCCTTGGAAAATTCTTGCTACATTTTCAGGAGACAGATCATTAAGTACGTCCTCTGGGGGGGAGGGGGGGTTCCTTGGTCCTTTCCTTGCCTCTGCCATGACGTTTCTTTACAGGTTTGTCTGTGTGTGGGACCAGCAGTTATGGGAGCAGCAGTTAGTGTAATGGCTATGTTGCTGGACTCCCATGTAGTCAACCATGGTTCGAGTCCTGGACCCGGTGGCTTAAACTCACGCGGGGCGCGTGTGTGTGCATGCCCAAAATCCCGAGAGGAGAATGGAGGAGAAGGGATTGCGGCATGGCCATCTCCCCTGAGGGGTGATTTCTCGCTTTCTGTCTCTCTGTCTCTCTCTGTCTTTCTGGTGAGCGCACATGCCCTATAGCAAAAACCTCTCCAAAAAAATAAGTAAACAAAAAGATTTGTCTCTGTGTGTGTTTCTGCCGTGTGGATGTGAGTTCTCAAGCACTACTGATCCTGTCCACGCTCATGTCCCCTAGTGCAGGTTACAGTGTCCGGAATACAAAGGCTACTTAGGGCATGGCTGTCAATTGGCTGGCAGTATACTCCAGGGAGATTTACTCACATTTGAAAAGTATGTGTATCACTAATAAATTCCTCCGGTTTGTGTGGAAGAATGATTGCTAACCCATTTTTAACAAGACAGTCTAAAAGAAGTTTCTCATTTGAATTCTTTTGTTAAAAAATCCAAACATGGGGCCTGCAGATGGTGTAGCAGTTACGTTGCTGATTTTAGTCCCAGAACCGGCGGTTTGAAAATCACACCAGGCATGTGTATGCGTACGTGCCAAAGATCCTGGGAGGAGAATGGAGGAGAAGGGGTTGCGGGGTGACCATCCCCCTTGGGGGATTTCTTACTTTCCCTCTTTCTCTCTGTCTCTCTCCCTCCTTCCCTCCCTCCCTGGCAAGTGCACACACCCTAAGGCAAAAACCTCTTTAAAAAATTAAAACACAAAACATGTAAAGTGTCTTTTGTGTCACTTTGCTCTGATATCATAAGTCATGGCCCATTGATGAAATGAGACCTGAAAAATAGGTCTCTCTCTTATGAAATCACTCAGTATTTAGTTCAAGGTGATTTTAACAAAAGAACACTAATGTAGACTGTTGAGAAATGAATAGTTTCATATTTGAATTTCTAGTTTTTAAATGCTTGAAAGTCTGCAGTATTTTTAGACCACATAAAACTGCCAATATCTTCTTTACATCGAAAGCAAAACTTGAAATAAATTTCCAAGAAAATTATTACACACATGGGGTCTGAACCCTAACTGTGATTAGCAAGTCCAAAGTAGTGTCTGTAAACTTGAGTGGCATTATTTTGGTGTTTTTCTTGTTTCCGACGTTGATTCTGATTCCGAAAGGAAAATTGGCTATTAGTATATTATTACACTTGAACCCAGCTCTTGTGTGGATAATATATTATAACAACTCGACCTATTACATTTAAACAATATATATTTTTAATTATTTAATTTTATTTATTCATTCATTTTATTTTAATATGACCAGAGAGAGACGTACAGAGAGAGAGAGAGAGAGAGAGATTAAGTGAGAAAGCAAGCCTCCAGGTCTGGGACTTGAACTATGGTCAGCCATGTGGGAGTGTCCAGCGCCTTAACCACCATGCTACCTGCTGGTCCCCTAAAAAATATTTTAATACCTTTTTATGAGGCTCTGATATTGGAATGACCTCTGTCCATGAGTCTGTCTCCACTGGAAAAACTTTTGAAAGTTTAACAGTTTTGAAAAGGTTCCAAAAGATGGTAATATTGATTTGGCAAGCTTACATTTTTAAGTATCCTTTTAGAACCTCTTAAACTATGCTATATTGTCTAACTGACTTTTGGTTATTTAGGTTTTGGGGGCCCTTGGAAAATAAGTTGAAAACTTAATGACATAACTTTGAAAATATCGGATAAAGATTTATACAATGTGAAGCACTGGAATCTATGTTGTTCCCTTTAGCCAAATCTTTTGTTTTAGGGTATATAAATTGTATTTTTCAATATTAGCTATTGACTCTATGGCTTACTTGGATAAACTAAAGTGATTTAGAGAAGCCAGTGCCTGTAGGTCATTTGGGTCAGACTTAGAGGAAGCCATATTAGTCTCGCTCACTGACAATCTGCTTTCTGTAGCAATATCTTTTTCGTAGCGGCTCTCTCTTAGGTATTAGTGATTTTATCCTTATTAAACATCTCAATAAAGGCTTGTCTAAAAATGTCTCCCTTAGGAAGCAAGCCTAGGCACAAAGATGTGAAAATAGGAGAGCCCATGAAAATTGTATGGCTTTCTTAATTGTAAGGAACCTGTTGCTTCACCATAAAATCAGATTGTTTTTCATCTCTTCGATTTCTGTACTCTCTTTACTCAACCGTAGAATGAGAAGGAAGGACATTTTAGGAGTGATTTTATTAATTATGCATAGCATTCTTGGTGCAGGTTTAAGAGGATTACTTTGTGTAAGACTTTTTTGGAGTAAGTATATGATAATTACAGAATTTTATGTTAATTGATGCTGTTAGTTGCCTATTAGCATATAATGTTTTTTATTTAAATAATTTTAAATTTGAAGATAGGGAAAAAACTCTATTATAAGGTATATTGTAATTTTAGTGACTAGATGAAGCATAACATTATAGCTTAGTTAACTTGTTAGACTGAGTTCAGATGTTCTTAGCAGTTATTTATTAATGTTTAAGGTTTTGACGTAGAGCGCATGCACTCACCAAAGACAGAGGGGGATATAGAGAGAAAGTGAGAAATCACCCCTTGGGGGGATGACCACACTGCAATCCCTTCTGTTCCATTTTCCTCCTGGAATTTTGGGCATACATGCACACATACCCAGTGTGAGTTATTTATTTATTTATTTTTTTAAAGAGATATTTTTGCTATAGGGCACGTGCCCTTGCCTGAGAGACAGAGAAAGAGACAGAGAGACAGAAACTGAGAAATCTTCTCCGGGGGGGATTGCTACACCACAGTCTCTTCTCCTTCATGTCCCTCTTGGGGTTTTGGGCTTGCATCCGATGTGAATTTTAATCTGCTGAGTCTGGGACTTGAACCACAATCAACTGCATGGGAGTCCAGTGATGTAATCATTGCATCATCTGCTTTTCCTGCCCTGTGTTATTTTTAAGCTATCAGGTCTGGGACCTGAACCATGGTTGACCACGTGGGATTCCAGCACCGTAACCACTATACCACCTGCTGGTCCCACTCAGCAGTTATTATGTGTATCATAGTCAAAGACTTTTTTAGAAACTGAAGTGGATAACAGAGTAGGTCCTCTTGAGTGTGGGGCAGTATGCCTACCAGGTCCTGTTGTTAATGAATGTAAACTGTAGATACTTGACTGAGGCTCGGTTGACTCTCCGTATTTGTGGGTTCTTCAGCCAGGGGTTCGGCTGACAGAGGACTCAGCAAGGCCACACCACACCGAATGTTAGGAAGTGAGGACAGATGTGGCTTCCTGAAAGAGAGACAATGGACCCGGTGGCTTGAAGCTCACACTGGGCACGTGTGCCTGGGTGCCCAAAATCCCGAGAGGAGAATGGAGGAGAAGAGATTGCGTTGTGGTGTGGCCATCCCCCTGGGGGCTAATTTCTCGCTTTCCATCTCTGTCTCTCTGGCAAGCACCTGCTCCCTACAGCAAAAATCTCTCTCAAGAAAAAGATTACTTTCAATGCTGTGAAGTACACACAAGCTTGTGCATAGGTTACATGTAAATACTGTGCTGTTTTATATAAGAAACTTGAGTATGCTCAGATTTGGGTATCTGGGGGGATGTTCCTAGAACCAATTCCTCGTGGATACCAAGGGATAACTGCATTTATTGCAGCATATTAAAATACCACACTAAAGTTTGGCTTATTCAGTGAAACGATTCTTCAGAAAAGATGAGTTATTTTTATTGGGGTGAAATTCACATAACTCTTTTTAAGGTAAACAATTCATTGGTGTTCAATACATTTGCAGTGTTGTACAACTAACACCTCTAGTTTGGATGTATTTTTTTCCCCAGAGGGTGCACACACTTGCCAGAAAGAAAGGGAGAAGGAGAAAGCACTACCCAGTGGGGCATGCTGCAGTCTCTTCTCTTCCACCTCCATCCTGTTGGGCTTGTGGGTGCGCCTGGCTCCCTCAACCAGACTATGGGGCCGGCCTGAGGATAGATGTATTTTTAACTGATTTCATTTGGAGATCAGAGCCTTTGCTTTGTTGAGAACCAGGTCCTACCTCTTTGTCTCTAATCCCAGTTCTTTCTTTTCCCCAGATATTTACAGAAAGCCTTCTGTGCTCCAGTCGCCTTGAAAATATCCACCTGGCTGGGCAGATGATGCACTGCAGTGCTTTCTCAGTGAACCTCCCAACCAGTGTAACCCACAAAGGGAAACCCCAGTACAAGGTCAGCTATGAAAGAAGTATCGACTTGGTCTTGGCTGCCAGCAGAGAGTACTTCAATTCTTCCACCAGCCTCACTGACAGCTGCATGGATCTGGCCAGGTAGGATAACTCCGTTTTTCGGTAAAAGGGGAGGGAGGGAGCCAGACTACTACGTGAGTCCATTGTTTATTTATGCTCAACCTAACAAAAGTACAGACTGACGGTATTGGATGGGACACGGTTATTTATTGCTCGAATGTAAAACTAATTATGTTATGAATATCCATCAACTTCCTCTTGACCTTTTTTTCCTGCATGCTTTCCCCCAGTCATTTTGCTAATTACCTGTATGGCGGTATTTCTCTGCTGTTGGAAGAGCCATGTGATCGTCCATAAATTGATGTTCTGAACATTTCAGCACCGCAGAGCATCACGTTTTACAGCTGCACCGTTGTCTCTGGAATTTATTTCGATATAATGATTGTGTTAGTCATTTAGATTAATTTTTCTCCCAAATGACTAGTATTTGTTTCAATCTTAGCAAAACTTAAAAGTAATGTTTTTCCCTCTAGTGATGTCTTATCTGAGAGTGAATCATGTTTTCTCAAACTGTATTATTGAACTTGACAAAGTTGTTGAAAGCAGTTCATAAATCTTTTTTTTTTTTGAGAGGTTTTCGCTATAGGGCTCGTGCACTCACCAGAGAGACAGAGACATAGAGACAGAAAGCGAGAAATCATCCCCCAAGGGGATGGTCACGCTGCAATCCCTTCTCTTCCATTCTCCTCTCAGGATCTTGGGCACGCACGCACACGTGCCCAGCATGAGTTTTAAGCCACCGGGTCTGGGATGCGAACCGCGGTTGACTATGTGGGAGTCCAGTGACATAGCCATTATGCTAACTGCTGGTTCTCAAATCTTTTTTTTTTTCTTCCAAGGGATTTTACTTTTATTTCAAATAAAAAAAATATCAATGCAATAGCCTTTGATACTGGGAATTCTATTTGACCTAAATCTTTTTGGCAGGTGTTTCTCGGAGGTCATTTAGAAAACCGTGCTTCCTGTTTTTCCCCTTCTTTATATTCCTTTCTGCTCTGCCAGGACACACCTTCATTTTAGAGACTATCATATGTGTGTAATGTAACACTGAACTTACTGCAACCTGTTAGTGTGGGTATTTTTCAATGTTTGTAGCTATGCTGGTATAGAAAATAGTCCATACCTTCTTACTGATTAAAATATTATTTTTAACTAGTTTTTATTGAGGAAGTGATTAATATCAAAATGGTGCAGAAAGGATACATACTGACTGTAAACTTCCCTCCTTATTCTATTGGTAGTTCCCTTAACATTGTCCCAGACCTGGCAGCTTGAAAATCACCCTGGACGTGTGTCTGTGTGCACACCCAAAATTCCAAGGGGAATAGAGGAGAAGGGATTGTGGCAGGGCCATCCCTCCCTGAAGGGTGATTTTTTAACTTTCCCTCTCTCTGTCTCTGACTCTGCAGCAAGTGCACATGCCCTATGGCAAAATAAATAAATAAATAAATAAATAAAGAAAATAAAAAGCAAATGAGGGGCACATGGGAGGGCACTGCTGCATGGTGGTTGAGGCAGGAGAATCAAGGCCTGGCAGGACCTTGTAAAAATGTCTCTCTCTCTCTCTTTTTCTCTCTCTCTCTCTCTTTATCTCCCTTAACTCTTCCAAGTATTCTCCTCCCTTCTCCTTTTATTTTAAAAAAAAAAAAAAAGAAAGGAGATGGTGACGGTGTTTGTGTTTGCCTGCCTCGCACGGTTACAGTGAGGGCTAAGCACAGTAACAGCAAGCACCTAGCAGAGATGACCTGGGTTGTAGTAGATTCTCCATAAATTCATGCTGTATTTTGTGTTGTTGAGTTTAGAAGGAAACTTGGGTGAACGTATGTTACTTCTTTTTAAAACTTCCTGATTTCTCCTAGGTGCTGCCTACAGCTGATAACAGATAGACCTGCTGCCATTCAAGAGGAGCTCGATCTTATCCAAGCCCTTGGATGTCTTGAGGAATTTGGGGTGAAGATCCTGCCTTTGCAAGGTGAGTTTTCTACTTACTGTTGTACTGTTTTGAACTCACTTGGCATTAATTTATTACTGTTTCTTTTTTCCTTTTATTTATTTATTTTTTTTACATTTAATCACTGTGCATCTTTATGGTATACAAAATGAATTTCCCCATTATAAATACACTGCATATTGTTCCTGTCAATGATATTATCATACACATTATCATCAACAGGTGACTTTTCTTTTTGCGTCTATTAAATGTTTTCGTTTCCCCGATCTCTTCCCTCCTTCGTCTGTTACTCACTCTCTCCTATACTGTGTCTCGTGTCCTCAGTTGTCCTTGCTATTATATTAAATGTCCAAATGATTTTAAGATATTTGAAAATACACTAAAAGTACTTTTTGGTATCTGATTTAACCTTTCAAGTTTAAGAAGCTTTGAATGCAAATATACATGAATGATACAAGTGAAAGAATTTTCCTCCTTTCAAGATTTTAGGCATGTATGTTTACACATGCCCAAAGTTTCTCTCAATCCACCAGGTCTGGGACTAAATCTTTCTGTTGCTTCAGCCCTGGCCCCCAGCATCCTCAATAGGGAGGGTGTCTTGGTTATTAGCAGTGTGCGTGACTTAATTCCCTGGGGTCTGTTATCTCTATCTTTCCAGTCTTTCAGTTCCTGCCCCAGAATGCAGACCTTTGGTATATACAAAGTGGGGACATACAGTGCTGTCTTTCACAGTCCAGCTTGCTTCGCTTATCATTCAGTCTTCCGTATTCATCCTCTTGGGTTAAATGCCAGAGGGTCATTATTCTTTATGGCTGAGCAGTATTCCATAGAGTATCTGTGCTATGCTTTCTCAATCCATTCATCTGTTCTTAGACATTTGGGTTGATTCCATGTCTTAGCAATTGTGAATAATGCAGCAATAAACGCAAATGTGTAAGGAGTGTTTTTCTGATCGAGTGTCTTCCTATCCTAAATATCCACGAGTGGAATTGCTGGATGGTATGGGAGTTGTGTTGGTCTTTGAGGAACCTTCATATTGTTCTCTACTAATGTTCCTTTTTATGTTTTTAAAACTAAACAGTAACTAGTAATTTAATCTATTAGCAGTAGATTGTGCCCCTCACTTTATTTGTGAATGAAGTCTCAAGTGGAAACCCAAAAGAAAAATAAAGTTGTTCATTTTAAAAATTCACCTTTATAACATTTAAAGAAATAACATTGCTAACAGCAATGAAGATATTGGATGAAACAAAAATAGAAATTGAGCATTATAAATGAGAGTTTCAAATTTATATCAGTTTTTGTATATAATTTATTTTTGTATCTTATTTGAGTTATATAGATTTATAGCTAGCTATAAATGAAAATCGTTTTTTTCTTTTTCTTTCCTTTGTGCTTTCTTTCTTTCTTTCTTTTTTTTTTTTTTTTTTTTGCACAAAAAAGTTGATAGTATTTTTTTCATTGTTGTTTTACATTTTTGCCACAGGGTGTATTGGCCCATGGATGGGGAGAGGAGTGTGGTGGGGAGGGGGGTCTTGGAGGGGTGTGGGTGTGGGGTGTGGGTCAGGAAAAGCAAGGAAGCATGCTCTTGGGGATTAATCACTCTGCAATCCCATCTCCTTCATTTCTTCCTCCTTTCAAGATTTTAGGCATGTATGTTTACACATGCCCAAAGTTTCTCTCAATCCACCAGGTCTGGGACTAAATCTTTCTGTTGCTTCAGCCCTGGCCCCCAGCATCCTCAATAGGGAGGGTGTCTTGGTTATTAGCAGTGTGCGTGACTTAATGCCCTGGGGTCTGTTACCCCTGTTCTTGACTCTGGCACATTTAGAACTGGGGTGGGAGAAGGTGTTGATGAATTTATTCCATCTTTGGTTATTTTTTGTAAGTTTTTACTATAATCGCCTCTATCTGTTCTTGTCTTTAACTTCTAGTACCTTCAGATAGTGGTGGTCTGTTAGAAATTCCTTAGTATCTTTGTCTTCTGTAAAATTGAGGTTTGGACGGGCCTTAGGGGATATGAGCCAATGGGGACATTCTCCTGTTTTCAAGAGGGGTTCCCTATGGCTTCACTAAATATTAAAGTTCTGCTTCTCAGACATATTGATTACACATGGAAGAGAGTTAGCGTTATTGTTAGCTTAAGAATAATTGTTTGGAAATAATTTCTGTGTGATTATAAATATCCTGTAGCATCTTAAGAAAATATATGTAAGGTGATCATGAAATCACTAGAAAATTCTTTCACTTGTATCATTCATGTATATTTGCATTCAAAGCTTCTTAAACTTGAAAGGTTAAATCAGATACCAAAAAGTACTTTTAGTGTATTTTCAAATATCTTAAAATCATTCGGACATTTATTTAGTTGCAGTTTTCATTCAGGGAAGAGTCCAGAGCTCATTTTGCTCTGCCTATGTCTTTGCTCAGCCAAACCCTTATGCCATTGCCTTTGCACGTGTTTAAGTGTATGTGTGGATATTTTAGCTACTTACTTTATTCAAGCAGACTTGTGGATATTTTAGCTACTTACTTTATTCAAAATGATATAATACAAATTTTTTTCCTTACAGTTCCCCAAATGCTATTGAATTTCGAAAAACTAAATTGAGCCCTCATTTTTCTGTGATGATCCATCAGGAAATTTTTGCTGGTTATATTTGTATATCAGCTGCTGAGTTTGAAAATCTGTAACTGAGCCTGCTACCCTGTGGTAGCTTCTGAGAAATTTCCTGAGTGAGGAGTGTTTTAAGAAAGACATTTGCTTTCATGTCTTGACAGCTTTCCGGTTTGATGTATTGATTTGGAGTTTCTTATTAGAATGACTGTCAGAAAACCTCCTGGATGTGGAGATGGACTGTACTGTTTGTTGTGTGTGTATTTTTTTTTTTTTTCACAAATACAATTTAGATTTCAGCTACTTTTGTATTCCTCAGTAATACTAGACAAAGTAACTTGATATTTAGAAATTTATGGTCTAGGTGTTTTTATTGTAGTCCGTGTACATAGTTTATTTTGTCACTGTGTTTCAGAGCCTTCCTTTCCTATACTCTAAGAGTAGCAATTTCTCATCAGATGAAGACTAGTGGTACCAGCTAACTTTTAATTAATGACAGTAGAAAACAGCAACAGAAATGCCATTTAAAAATGATCCCGATGGGGGCCAGCAGGTGGTGTGGTGATTAAGGCACTGGACCCCTGCATGGCTATCTGAGGTTCAAGTCCCAGACCTGGTGGCTTTAAAATCACTCTGGATACCTGTGCCTGCATGTCTACAACCCCTAGCAGATTGTGGGGCTAGCAGATGGCATAGAGGTTATGTTGCTGGATTCCCACATGACCTACTGGCAAGTCCCAGATCTGGTGGCTTGAAACTCATGCATGTGTTTCCAAGATCCTGGGAAGAGAGTGGAGGAGAAGGGATTGCAGTGTGGGATCCCCCTTTGGGGGATGGTTTCTCATTTTCCCTCTCACTGTCTCTGCCCCTCTCTCCCTCCTTCTGGGGCGAGCACACATACCTTAAAGCCAAAAATAAATAAATAAATAAATACCATTTATCAATACCATATACACAGTACTAAAGTTTTTTTTTTTTTAAGTGTTCATTACTTTATAGCATGAATTCACTTGATCAGACTTGTCTTATTTTCCTAATATCTAGTATAAGTGTGAGGATTGGGCTTATATTTTTTAAGAAAGGTTAATAACTGGAATAGTGACTCCTGTTCTCCAAATTGGAGTAGTATAGTGGAAATAACAAATGGATATTTTAAGTATGGAATGAGTTTTTGGGAATCCGATAGTGGGGGGACTGTTACAGAGGAAGAATAAAAGTTTTCAAAGACAAATGTTGCCCTCTTTAAAATTTTCTCTAAAATCTGATATGTACTTCAAAAGATGACACCATGTTCTAGCTTCAAACTGACAGTTCATTTGCTGTACTTAGAAGTTTAGTTATAAAGAAAAGACCCATCTTTTGCATTATTTATTCATAAGTAGTAATAATTCTTTTTTAAAAATATGCCTTTTTCTTGATTCTCATTGATGTTGAGACTAAGACAGTTTTCCTTTTGTTTGGTTGCCTTACATTAGGGAAGGTCTTGACACCCCTTTGTGATGTCTTTGGTTACAAAGCTTTGTTTCGTCTGTCTTTTGTAGTGAGATTGTGCTCTGATCGGATCAGCCTCATCAAGGAGTGTGTTTCTCAGTCCCCCACCTGCTACAAGCAGTCCGCCAAGCTTCTGGGACTGGCTGAGTTGCTGAGGGTTGCAGGTAAGTCTTGGGCAAACTAAACTGTACAATGAGGTTTCTGTGTTTTTCTTGACATCACCCTAGGTGGCCATCAGAATATGTGCTTACAGGTGTCAGAAGAGCATGTTCTGGGTAAGGGTTAGTCTTTTCTAGAAAGATTGTCATGTCATAGAAATAAATGTGTACTTAACACTGAGCAGCTGGGATCATCTAACCTTCAAATGAACACAGGCTTTTTCACAAGGCTTGCCACAAAATGTTGTAAAATCAGGAACAGAAGTCATTGTTAACCATGTATAACCAGAAAACTTAAATATAGAATAAGCTAGTTTTATCCATTCACCTTTAGTGTCTAAAATTATTTTATTGGGTTGTCAGAAAAGTCATTACTGTTAGGCTGGAGGCCTGGGCAGCTTCGATGTGGGGGTTGGACGCCATGCCAGTCTGCTGATGCAACCTGGATCTAGTCTGTCATGAGACCTGCACTGCACTTGGATCTAACCCGGATGTAGCCCACGGTGCTCTACTCTGCACACGGGACTCTACTCTGCACACGTCACTAGACGTTATGTGGCACGCTAGTCTGCTGTCCCTCTAAACCTTTGCCATACATGGACTGTTTCTCCCTCTAAGACACTCCCCCTACCTATACCCTTATAAAAATCACTAAACCCCGCCCTAGCATGAGACTTCTCTGATTATCTTCCTCCCTCTCTCTCTGTTTCTATTGTATCAGAGAACCTCACCCTGAGTGCTCCCAAGAAAGGCTTTACATTTCTATTTTCTTGCATGGTTGCCCATTCCTTACAATTACATACTTTTTCTATGCAAAAATGTGTCAGTTGAACTTGAACAATTTGCTAGACTTTTTTGGCATTTACTATTTGGTGGACTTTTCATGTATTTTATTTAGTAAGTGGTGACTGTGTTAGTATTTTTTTACAAGGAAAATTGAGAATCAGAGAAATTAACTATCTTGTAGCAGACTGTGGCTTTGAAAGATTTTTTTTCCCTCTGTTTTATGTTTCCTTTTTTTTTTCCTTTAAGAGAGATTTTTGCTACAGGGCATGTACATTTGCCAGAGAGGCAGAGAGATAGAAAGTGAGAAATTATCTCCCGTGGGGGATGGCCATGCTACAATCCCTTGTCTTCCATTCCTCTCTTGGAATTTTGGGCATGCATGCACACACACACACCCAGTGTAAGTTTTAAGCTGCTGGGTCTGGGACTCGAACCATGGTTGACTACATGAGAGTCCATTATTACATCTGCTAGTACCAACTCTGTTTTATGTTTTCTTTAACCACACTGCTCTGCTTACCAGAGTCTTTGAAGCCTTTTCTTTTCTTTCCTTTTTTTTAATTTTCATTTTGACTTAAGCTTTTTTTCTAGAAGTGGTATTGACTATTTTTTATATAGGCACTGGTTTGAAGTTGTATTAGTCTAAGGTACATATTTCTGGCTTAAAAATGAGGGGAGTTTATGTTTCTATTTCTGAATGCTGAGAATGTATGTATTTAGTACATTTATTGGACACAGATGTGAATGTAAAATCCTAATTTGTAGACCTCTTGCTCTTAAGGTCTCTAGCTCTGGGAAGTGTTTTGTGTCGGTTGTCCTTTTCTAGGTTGGCTGAAAGCACAGCATTAGCACTTCAATCTTTGGCCTTGCAGTAGACTTGTGGAAGGGCAATACCTGGTAGGGCCGTCATCCATTATGAGGCATCTTGGACTCCTGGGGAGGACTCTGGGTGTGGCTCTGGCTCAGGTTCTGGCAGGGTTGCTAAATGGCTTTAGCTCCATTTCTTCCTCAGTCCTAGAGTCGTGTTTGTGTAGAACGTAGGTTAGTAGTACGGTCTCTTTTCTCATTATTGCTGTTTTAGTTCTGACATTGGGACTGATGCCAGAGGGGCCAGGGCTGCTTGATGATGAGGCCTGCAATCAGGGTGGTGCCACCCACCACAGCTTGGGGAATAAGGAAAGGAACTTACTGGGCATGGCCAACACGCAACGAGAGAACTGCAGAACTGAGTCCTTAACTGTTTCCGTGGCCATGGAAAAACTGCAGAGCTTACAAAGGGAAGGAACAAAGGCAAGTTATTGGGGAGGCTTGTCGGCGGCCACAGGAGGACCACAAGGACGTGGGATATTGTCGGGGGCGGTGGGAGGCAGTTTCCCTTCTGGGCCTGCAGAGCTGGGCAGAATGACAGTTTTCCTTCCTTGTAGGAGGCTTGAAGATAGGCAATAATTAGTAAGGCAGCAGAAGCAAATGGAGTGAGTTAAGGACAACTCTTAGGTCCTGGTTAGGAAGCTAAATGTGGCTTCATAATGTTTAAGTCAATAAAATCTTCTCAGCGGGTCAGATGGGGGGGGCTGAAGGCACCCTTCCCTTTCCTGTCTCCATTTCCAAGCATCTGTAAAAACTCAGCAAGGTTATTGTGATGTTAACTAATCCATTAGTTAAATATTAGTCTCTATGTGTTGTGAGGGAGTTATTTTTCTTAAGATTACTTTTATAAAACTCATCGTAATTTCAAAGATAGAAATTAAAGGCAGATTTCCTAAGTTCTAATCTCTTAAACTGACTTATTTATTTACTTATTTATTTGGAGAGGTTTTTGCTATAGGGCACATGCACTTGCCAGAAAGACAGAGACAAAGAGACAGAAAGTGAGAAATCGCCCCCCAGGGGGGATGCCCTTGCCACAATCCCTTCTCCTCTATTCTCCTCTCGGGATCTTGGGTACAATTTATTTTGTTTTTGCCATAGTGCCTTTGTGCTAGACAGAGAGACAATGAGAGGGAAAGTAAGAAATCACCCCTCAGGAGGAATGGCTACATTGCAACCCTTTTCCTCCATTATTCTCCTGGGATTTGTGGCATGCAGATTAAGTATAGTTTAGTCACTTTGGTTCTCTATATCAATTTGGCCACAATCTATTCAAAAGCTTTCATGTGGAGTTTATATTACAACTTAGTATCATTGAAAGATAAAACTAGAATCTACATTTCTTTAAACATATTTTGTTTTGAAAATTGTGTTTGTGATGGAGAAAGGTCTCAACAGGGTCTAATTATGCCGTAATCCCCTCCCCAGTCCTCAAGTTCATCAGGATTTTGTTTACACATACATGTGCCTGGTGTGTCTCAGGTCCAGCAGGCCAGGGATCTGAACAGGCAGCTATGTGGCTTCCCTACTGCTGTCTGGTATGCTGCTGAATGCATCTCAGAGGCCTGAAGGTATGTTTATTGGGAGCCACCTGAGTGCATGTAATAAAGATTACAGGTATCTGTGGTTACAGCGAGCTAGCACCTTCTGTGTTCTCTTAATGCAGTAACTCTTTGATTGTGCACAACCGCCTCTCATCAGACACATTCATTTTACAGTAGAGGGAACAGAAAAGCAGGGAGGTGAAGAGCATCGCTGTGCTGAGTGCCACGATACAAGGTCTGTTACATATAGCTGCTCCCCTCTGGGAAAGGCAGAGGGCGAGGCTCTGAGTTGTTAAGTGTTCACATGGGCTCATTTAGAATAATGCAGCCAGCTGATTGGCTGTTCCTGATCCTTTACATCACAAGCTCAAGGACACTGGGAGGAAGAAAGGGTGGGGTCACACTGAAATCTATAATTCTTTTGCAGCGTGACAGCTGGAAGTGACTGTAAACTAAACATGACTTCTAGGGCAGTAACCCTGATAGCTGTGACATCATGAAAGTTTCATGCTTATGGGTTTTTGAGGCCTTTACATGGACCTTGTATTCCACAGACTGCACTAGACTGCATTTCTTTCATGGAACTGACATTCCCAGTTGAATGTTTTTGAGCCTTTATTATGTACACAACTTGATACTGTATACTGATAGTCCATCAATGAACCAACCTCTGCTATTCAAGAGCTTAAATTCTAATAGAAGATGTAGGTTATTTTAAAAAGATGACAAGTTAGCGTTAATGAGCAGCAAATAGAGGAACATGATATGGGCAGGGCAGCTAAACCATGTGTTCACGTGAAGGAGGTGCAGTGCTGTCAGAGGAGGGAGTGAAATGTATGCTGGTGCTAAGTGTTCTTGGGAAAGTAACTTAACATCCTTGTGCTAACACGAACTGAACATTGGTATGTGAAGAGAAACACTTCAGACACTTTAATTTAGCAGAGTTTGAGCAAAAACGATTTGAATCAGGCAGCCTCTAAAATGGCTTCCAAGGAACTCCCGAGATAGCCCGGTGGTGGGGTAACGTTTATTTGCAAGAAAGGGAAAGTGACGTACAAAAATGGAAGTGAGGGACTGAAGTAGAGTTACAGCTTGGTGGGTGCCTGCAGGAGGACAGTTTAAAAGGTGGGCTGTCTGTGATTGGCTGAAGAGGAGCTGCTGCGATTGGCTCCCTCTGAGCAACTTGCTGAGAAAGCGGACTTCAGAGCAAGGCTGAGGTTTGCTTACAGGAGCTCAAACAGCTTGGAGGCCTTCTCAGGCCAATCTCGCTTAGCAGATACATGTTCTTAGACTCTAGAGTCTCACTATGATAAGTAAAAGATTAGTACTGCTGGTGAAATTATCGCATTATATCCATTTTAAGGTTTTCTTCCTACCTTGTATTTTCAGTTTATTATAATTAGAAACAGAACATTTAAAGAGAAAAAAAAATCAAAATATGTGAAGTCCCTGTTGGGAAGAGAACTTTTCCTTTACCTACTTATTCTCCAAAGGTTCCTTTCAAATTGACAATGGGCAGATTAGTGGGGGAAAGGACAAGGCAGGTTGACTTGTGTGCTGAAGTCACTCAGTGATGAAGAACATCCTGAGTAGTCGCTGTGTGTGGAGTTAACCAGGGGGGCGGGGCAGGAAGGGGAGGCGGCAGTGAAAAAGAAAAAGGTTCTGTCTGATTTTTTTTTTTTTTTTTTGGAGAGATTTTCACTGTAGGGCGCGTGCGCTCGCCAGACAGACAGAGAGAGACATAGAGACAGAAAGCGAGAAATCACCCCCCAGGGGGGATGGTCACGCCGCAGTTCCTTCTCCTCCATTCTCCTCTCGGGATCTTGGGCACGCACGCACACGCGCCCGGCGTGAGTTTTAAGCCACCGGGTGCGGGACACGAACCGCGGTCGACTACGTGGGAATCCAGCGACGGAGCCATTACGCTAACTGCTGGTTCCCATCGGACTTTCTGATGCAGATGGAATTGTGGTCTGTCTCAGGGTAACTGCAGTCTCAGGAAACAGCCCTGCAGGTTAGTGGCAGTTATATTGTAGGAAGTTTCTGTGTTAGTCAGATAAGGTGAATTTACATAAGATTTCTTTCTGCATCATTTTTCACTCAGATGTTTTCCTTTTAAAAGCATCTTTATAATTTATTTATTATTAATCTTTATTTATTTTACTTTAAAGATTCTTTTTTGGCTCTTAGGTGGTGAGGTAGGAGACAGGGACCCTAAATATATTGTTAGGATAGAGGCCCAAAATGGAATCACAAAACGGTTAAATTTTAAGATGGAGAGACAGCAGTTCGGCTGCTTGCACGAGACAGATGGCTTACAACATTGGTCAAGATTAACCTAGCAGCATAACCTAAAACAAAGGCTTTTTTCCACACCCCACCATATTCCAGAAAGAAAGTCAGATAATGGTTTTTATGGCCCAAAGCTTTTAGACAAAGTATCTCCTGATCTGAATTCATACCCACTCCAAAATTAAGAAAAATAGCACGGGACCACCCACAAGGGGAACGTGTGCACAGGAGAACACACCTGGACAAAGCCCCTCTGACCCAGAAAGACACCCCACCTGCTCCCCGCCCCCATCCCACCTCCTCTTCAGTAACCTATTTTTCTAGGACCTGCTTCCTGCTTGAGAGCTCTGTTCTTCCTTCCCCTTCTTCTTTTTTCCTTTTTTTATTTTAATTTTTTTTTTTTGGAGAGGTTTTTGCTATAGGGCGCGTGCGCTCGCCAGACAGACAGAGACATAGAGACAGAAAGCGAGGAATCATCCCCCAGGGAGGATGGTCACGCCGCAATCCCTTCTCCTCCATTCTTCTCTCGGGATCTTGGGCACGCACGCGCGCCCGGTGTGAGTTTTAAGCCACCGGTTCCGGGATGCGAACCACAGTCGACTACGTGGGAAGGGAACCAGCGACATAGCCATTATGCGAACTGCTGC